AATTATTCAGTACATGACGACTTGAAAAAGTATCAAATTTGTGTGGTCGATTATTTTAAAAGTATCAATTTGTGTGCCATTAACATGGAAACAATTCACTAAAATTTAAATTTATCAATTTATGTGCCATTAAATATGATAAGCAATTGAACAGAAGGGCGTCCTCAGCCAAGTGATATGACCTCCCAACTCGAACCACCTGAACAAAAAATCAGATATATTAGGCTATAGTTGACTGAAAATAATCAATTATGATATTAACAATTATCTGATACATACTATGATACTCACCAATGCCTCAAGAAAAGGCCCAACTCCCTGATATCCAGCCTCAGACAGGTGGCTCGGATTACCGACAAGTAGGTGTGTATGTCGCCAATACCACAACATGTAAGGGTTGGGAGAGGGGAGGACCCCATCGCTCCACTCAGCCTGTACAATAGTGTCGCGACGAGCATCCCACAACTGTGTGTATCGCATAAGATAGGCTGCATAAGTCACAAGGGAGGTGGGAATATGGAGTTTTATTCCAGAGCATGAGAGTTAGGGCTTCATGCAGTGCCAAAAATGTGAATCTCTCGCGAATTCGGAAAAGCAAAGTTTTGAAATAAATCCCATATTATTGTGCATCAGCTCTTCTTTCTACCAAATAATATTGGAAAGAAGAGGTGTACGATTTTCTCTTCTTTTCTTTTTCTTAATTTACCACGTGCACCGCTAGATTTGTGAATGTTATTTTATTTCTTCAGCTTAAATAAACTACCTTAAACTTGCTCCAGGAATTTCGTTGAAGACTCAAGAACTCTATGTTATAGTCTTTGTCACTCGCTACCTTGATTTGTTTACGAGGTATGTCTCATTCTACAACACTGTTATGAAGCTGGTCTTCATTGGAACTTCAATTGCTATTGTCTGGTACATGAGGCATCATAAAGTAGTGAAACAAACATACAACAACGATCAAGATACTTTCCGACATTATTTTCTTGTTCTCCCTTGCTTCGTGCTGGCTCTGTTGATTCACCCTGTTTTCAATGTGATGGAGGTACAAAAATTTACATCCTTTCATTTGCCTCTAGTTTCATTGTTGTTCTTTTGAGAAATATATAATCCTTATAGACTTAAAGAATGCAATGCAATTAGTTTATCAACAGAAGTTAGAGAAGAAAAAAAAAAACCTAGTTGGTATCAGTGTCTTAACACCACTGTTTGCATCACTCACTGTATTTTTAGTAATATTTTATCTTTGCTGGGCAACATTTATTGTTATATGTGAGATGCTGTTCATGATTTGCTATAAGGGCCTTGTTTAGTAATGACAAATTCAGAAAAATAACTTGTGAGTTTTCTTTTTTTGTTTTGTTTTTGATTGGTTAGAATAAGATACAGAATTACCATAATCAAACTCATGTGAGCATCAGTTTGGAGACCATATATGTCTGTTCTCAGAAAGGCTCTCCAAAAGTTTATAATCTGTACTTTTTACTGAAGTTACAAATAAAAAATTATAGTCAGCAAGCAGCCACTGTCAAAAATATATTTTAAATTTAAGAAGATCCAGTAAAAGTTCAATGACCACTGAAGATGTACAGAAATCCTTATGCTGTTACGAATTTGAGTACAGAATTACTTAAATGTTCATCTATATTGAGTGTGATCCTTGACCCTTTGAGGCCACGACAGCCATGTTAAGTGAGAACCTTTTCTACAAAATCCTATATAAAGTTGGGTTTAATCTTTAAAGACAGGTCTCTTTTTTTGCTATTTCCTCTCTCAATGTACAACTCACTGTTACCGGCTGATATTAGAAGCAATTATTTATTTATTTATTTATATGCATGTTGTCAACATTTTCCAGTCTCCGAAGTACCAAAGTGGCACAAACATTTTCTTATTCCTTCTTTTTACTCCCTCATAATCAATAATTATTCATTTTTGGTTGAATTATTATTATGCTTCTATGTCTAGAAAATCCACTGAATTGTGATTACAGCTGCTACTATGATGTATACCTGACATTGTTATAGGTTCTCTGGACATTTTCATTATATCTTGAAGTGGTAGCAATCTTGCCACAGTTGGTACTATTGCAACATTCGAGGAACATTGACAACTTGACTGGAAACTACATTTTTCTTCTTGGGTATGCCATTCTTACTGATTGAAGCTGTATTACTTCATATCTCTTGGTCTGGTTGTTTATGTTGTGGTTCAAGAATCCAGGAATGCTCAGAGAATTTTAAGGAAATAAGCTGATATTTTGTGTCTGTTTTGTATCACTTATGAGTTAGCTTTTTAGATTGTTAGCTTAAAAAACTTTTAAGTTGTAAATCTGATTGTTGTAGCTTTTGATAATACGTGAAAAAAATTGAGCCTATTTGGTTAAATCACATAGTTTTTTTGTTGTAAAAGTTATAATTATGACAGAGATGGGGTTCTTTTGCCCATACATATTTAAGGGTTTCAAATTTGCTGAAAAAAAGCTACAAATTCTGAAAAAAATTCCACTCTTTATGGTCAAATAAGCTGAAAAAGTCAAATAAGTAATAATTTAAAATTGCAACCTAACACAAATAGTTAATTTTGTAAAAGCAAATAAGCTAAATAAGTTGACTTATAAATGCAATCACACATGGCCTTCACCTGTTTCCTTTGCTATGTCTGGTAACTTTGCATTTTTCCCTTCACTCCCTATGACAAGGCTTTGATGATCTTTCTCTGGGTATATTTAATCTGGAAGGGAAAATAACTGCAAGAGAGGAGTTTTTTTGGGCAATATTTAGGCCTCGTTTGGGAACATGATATTTTAGTAACTTTTTGGCTAAAATATGAGGTAAAAAAAACTAGTATGTTTGGAATAACTTTTTAGTTTTTTACGAAAAGATATGCAAAAAGTCGAGAAAAAATGGAATCTTTGACTTTTTGGTATAGGTTATAGTCTTTTTGATTTTTTTAGTAACTTTTTGGCTTTTAGGCCTTATTGTTCGGAGTAGATTCTGACTTGATTGTGTCAAAACATTGAGAGTGGGTGGCCCATTAAAAAAATCAGTATAAGAAACATTATGGCTAATATTTTTAATATTGTTACTTCCTCAACCATAAGTAGCTAATTGTGTTTGGTTGACTGTGAGTGAGACACTCTTATCATATCAAAACATTATATGATAGAGGTTGAAGTTTCAAAACATGGGCATGAGATCAGGGGGAACGATCCTTATAATATCCAGCAAGAAGGTGCCTTTAAAAGGGGGAAAAGATAATGGCCAAAAAAGGTAGAAGGAGGGCAAACTTCGGTGTAGCCATATCCTATGAATATTTTGGTTGCGACTTGTGAGGTTAAGAAGAATATACATGATATCATAACAAAGTCTCCAGCAAACAAAGGTGTCAGCTAGATCAAGTCATGTTTGAGAGTGGACCTTTCTAATACTGTGAAAGAAAAATATATTTTAAATTTGTTGGATTTATTTTATTTCATATTCCAATTTTTTTCTTTTTCTTCTCCCTGTGAATCAAGTTTACAAGTAGGATACCTCCCATATTTACAATGAATCTTTCAGAAAAGAAAATAGGGCAACTTAGGAAGTTATTTGGGAATGCAAAATCATTATTTGATTTGGAAGTCTAATTATAACCAGCAGCACTAGCTTTCACGCTGTTTTGTTGTACATAACTTAGTTTCCTTGAGTTTTATATAATGAAGGAGTATCTCTGATCTTTCCTCTGCCTTTCTTGTAGTGCTTACCGAGCATTATATATTATCAATTGGATCTATCGTTTCTTTACGGAGAATCACCAAGTCCGCTGGATCCGTAAGTTTTTCCATCTTTACTTGAATGGTTTTCATTTTCATTCCACCCAACTTTTGAAGCGTCTAGACTTATTATTGCTTAATCCCAAATGCAGCTTGGGTATCTGGCTTGGTTCAGACTGCTCTTTATGCCGACTTCTTCTATTACTATATAAAGAGGTAATTTCTTGTTATTTATACTCCCCATTTACGCTCCATTGCTTTGGGTGGAAAACATTTTTTGAAAAACATTTTCTATATTTTTTGGCATTTGGTACAACGAAAAACGAAAGTAACGAAAACATTTTCGATGGTCAAAGGAAAAAAAAGCCTATTTGGGTAGAAAATATTTTCATTTTTGAAAGGTGAAAAATGTTTTCTGGACTCTAGTCTTACCCAACCAATGGTGCCACCTACCACCATTACCTCAACCACCACACTGCCATCACCACCTCCACTGACGCCACCACCACCTTGACCCCATCACCATCGCCACCGCTTCCACAACACAATCACCTCCACTGCCGCCTTCACTGATACAGCTATTAGTACACTAGTTTCAAACATTCAACCAAACATTTCCCCATTAGAAAATATTTTCCACCAAATCAAATGGTGTGTTAACTTAATATCTCCTGAGTAAAAACATAGAGGAATGAAAATGCACGTCTTTCTTTCATGGAACAACAGTAAATCTTGGAAACACAACTGCCACTGGATTTTCAGAAGAAAGTTCTCCTCGAAGAATAATTAACACTGCATATTTGTTACCCCATTAAATAGTGAACTTTTTTCTTCTATGAAGTGGCCTATATTTAATTATTAAAAAAAGCAAAAATAACAGCAGAAACTGATTTGGCATTGAATCCTTACTGACAAATTTGACTGATTGTGTCTTCAGCTGGAAGAACAACGAGAAACTCAAGCTTCCTGAATGATGTGGATCTTTTTTGGTTCAGATATACACTAAGAAGTACTGTTATAGTGGGAAAATATACTAGTTTAAGAATTTTTTTTTTTTCCTTTTTTTTTTCATTTCAGTTTAGAACATGCTCTGTGGACCAGGTTGCTAATGTACCTTTAATTTAACAGTGACACTGTGACAAGATGCTTTACAATTGAAAAAGAAATGTTAATCACGTGTTAGTTATGGGTAATTGCTAATCAGATTTTGCTTTAGTTGCAAGTGGATTGTAAATAGGCTGTTGGGAATCTTAAATTTGATCACTTTTAGTTGGAGTTAGAATGTATAGAAGGGCACCATTCACTTCAAACCAGTTCAAAAAAATTGACATTATATACAACCAAGATTGGTGTTTGTCAGTAGATATCCCTTCCACCACCAGTGTTGGTGGTCGAGTGGTGAAAGCATTGCCTTTTCACAGCAATGAGTCAATTTTAACTTTTGGAGGCGCAAAATGTTAGATTTTCCAGTGGCTCTCTTTTGAGATCTCGCGTTGTACTCTGATTGAATTGTAGTCTCATTGGGGGTGGTTTATGAGCTCTACTAGTGTCTCGGTGGTTGGTTCCTTTCTATGGGTTGGGTTAAATCAGGCTAGCAATTGGTTATTCTGGAACTTAAGCTCACGAATGCTGTGATGACACCTCAGAATATTTTTTTTTGTTAAAAAAAAAAAAAATACATATCCCTTGCTTATCATTGTTATCATGAAGTAAGAGCATAATTGTCAAAATAGCCATTTGGAGAAGTACAATTGAGTAACAAAATAACGATGGTAGCATTTATTGGAAAAGAAGAAAAAGAAAAGCATCAGCGAATAATATTCGTGTCTTTTTCCAAACTAAGCTTCTTTTGCCTCTTATTTTCCAAACTAGGCCTAGTTTTAACGGATTTTCTAAACTAAGCTAAAGCGCTATTACAAATAGCGCTTTAACTGTTTGGAGGCCAAAATTTGATGAATAGTGAAGGTGCTATTGTGAATCGTGATTTTACTTAAGAAAACGTTGTTCCGAATAGCGATTTTAACCTCAATTTTTTCCCCCGTATAAAACGCTATTCCGAATAGCGCTTTATTTGCGGATTGGTTTTGTAAAGAAAACGCTACTACAAATAGCGAGTTTACTTGTGAAGAAAACGCTATTGCAAATAGCGAGTTTACTTGTGAAGAATAGCGTTTACACTGTTAAATTGCAATTGAGAACGCTTTCAGTGTTCATTTCTTTCTTGGTAAGCAGATTATTGTTTAATATTTTTTTTTTTCCTGTTGTCATTGTTTTGGTGATAATGTGATTTATAAATTTTATTAGCTTTAAAGCCATTGTCATGTTAAAATTTGTTTGTTTGTTTGTTTGTTTGTTTTTTTTTTTTTTTTTTTTTCTTTTGTTTTTTTTTTTTTTTTGGTTTAGAAGGTGTAATTCAAAAATTTTACATAATATGAGAAAAACCACTTTTCATATATTTATTTTACATAATATTTTTCATATATATAATTTTAAAATCATATTCATTTAGCCAATCATGTTCATTTACAAAAGTCATGGTTTTACTGTTCACTATTGTAAGCATGGATTGAAACCACACTTTCACTGTTCATTTAAATTAGATTTAATTTTTTTTTGAAAATAATTTTTGTCTGTTGTCATTGTTTCGGTGATAATGTAATTCATAAATTTTGTTTGGCTTTACTGAAGCCGTTCTCATGTTAATTTTTTTATTTTTTCTTTTGTCTTTGTTTTGGTTTAGAAAATGTAATTCAAAAAATTTTTTGGTCTTCACTAAAGCCGTTTTCATATAAATTTTTTTTGTTTATTGTTTTGTGTTTGTTTTGGGTTAGAAGGTGATAATGTAATTAATAATTTTTTTTTTTTGCTTTACTAAAGTCGTTTTTCATGTAAATTTTTTTTTTTGTCTTTGTTTTGAGTTAGAAGGTGTTATTCAGAAAATTATTTTGACTTTACGAAAGCCGTTTTCATTTAAATATACATATATATTTATTAGTTTGTCTTTGTTTTGGGTTAGAGGTGAGAATATAATTCCAAAAACCAGTTTAGTAAAACCGTTTTGTACCCGTTTTCATTAAAAAAAATTATTTTTTTGTTTCGTCTTTGTTATGGGTTAGAAGGTGACATGCATGCTCTACAGTCCGAAGCACACCCACACACTGTGCAGCTCGACAAGCAACGACGAAGGGTGAGACGCGAAGACCACCGCGGAGTAGGCCAAGAAGACGAAGGCCACAACGAGAGCTCCTAAAATAAATTTTGTCAACATTTTTGTAGTAAATCTTAATACATAATATACGAAGTCACTAATTTACTAAATACTCATACAAGCATGAAAACAACATAATTGAAGTTGCAAATATAATAGTTTTCAGTTACATAGGTAGTACAGACATAATTCTCCCACAAAAATACATTCTGGACACCATGAACTGAACACACATTACATACATCCTGGACATCCTGAACTGAACACACAATACATAAACATAACAGTTAGGCAGACAAACACCTAATTCATGACCTAATATTGCATATTAATAGCCACAACATTTGACAGACACAATACATAAACATAAACATAAACATAAACATAACAAGTATACTTACTCTAACACAGACATTACATATTAATGCATGACCTAATATTGCCGAAGTGTAGACATTAACACCTAATTCGCGCTTAAATCGGCAGGTGGCTCAGAGTCTGAATAATCCGAAAGCTCAGCATCAGAGACAAGCTCAGGATCCTCCATGATACCGTTGATAGCCGCAACATTTGGTTCTGTTCTGTTCTTCTGGGCTGGGCATCCTTCTATGTATAGCTGCATATCGCGGGCTAACCTACGGCGCATTTGAGAAATCTCACGTTGTAGTCTTTCACATAGTCGATCAACATTATCAGGATCTTCCTTTTGGATCTCAACAGAACGTGCGTTTGGCACCTTAAGTTGATTTTCCCGAATTAAGGTTTCCAGTTGTACCCGCTCTATAAATAGTGCGGGCCACTTCAGAACTCCTCAACATTCTCTAGCGTGTGATGTACTATGGGTGTACTTTAGGTTTCAATCGCGATTGATTTTTTATTTTCTCCCTATGATTCTTCTGATCACCATTTGGACCATTCTGTTCTCATCAAAGTTACTACCATATATCAATTGAATAACAAAACAATACAAAACTTCCCCCTCCTCGTCGTGAACTGTCACCCCTTTGCAAGTTCCTACCACCTCTGCGATTCCCACTCCCTCCCATGAACCATGTAGCCATGCTAATTTTTTAAAACAAATAAATGATAATTTCGTAGAGCGAAATGAGTTGTAAGGTTGTGTCTTCACCTTTAGTCGTTTATATAGTTGGTTATGAACAGCTTTAGAAAGATGCGTCTGCATCACAATCCTACATATATGAACAAGGTATGAGTGTCACTAGACTGAAAAAACAGAGAAAAGCAAATACTGTGTACGAAGTCATGTGACTTGACAATCCATCTGTATATACGGACAAAATAAAAGCATGCTGACTGTAAGGTAAATCAGTGAATTCACTGTTACCATGTGACTTTCTGAATTGAGAATCCCACATATATCAATAATAGATGAGTTGTCACTGTAATAAAAAAATCGAGCAGAAAATCGAGAAAACCAAAGCATGTGCACCAAGTCACATGACTTGACAATCCATCTGCATATATGGACAAAATAAGGGCATGCTGACTGTAAGGTAAATCAGTGAATTCACTGTTGCGTGCCGAAGATGGGTTAATGGATGATGCACACCAGTACTACGCGTGGAGCATGGATGTTATGTATGAATATGATATTGAGATGTCAGATGATGATGATAATGAATGAAATTGTTTGGATGAATTACCAAACCATTTATGTTGTAATGAATTTGTAATGCTTATCCACGACTTATCAATGAAGGGAGATATTTCAATTGTTTTTAGGCTTGAACAAACACATTTTTTAGGCATGAACAAACATATTTTTTATTTTATGTTTTTATGGGTTGCTTAAACATTTTGTTCAAACCAAACGCGTTTGTAATTTATGTTTTTCTAAAAATAAACAAAAATCAGTTTTTAATTTTTTTGTAAACATAAACCAAAAACGTAAACGTTACCAAACGCTACCTTATTTATTTTTATTTTAGGGTTTAGGATTTATAATTTAATTCTTCAAATTTATTTAAACTTCAATTTTATAAATGGTTGTCTCAATTTGTAAAATTGAGGAAAAATCGTAAATTACTATAAATAATGCACAGACTACGGATAATGAGAGAGAGGTAGAGATGTGAAAAAGATTTGTGTGATTCATCAATATAAGTAAGAATAAAAAATTGTGAAATTATAATTGCGAATAAATAAGTATGACACATTTACATCAATTGTACAAGTTTGATTTACAAAAACTATAACAATTACCAAAAAAAAAAAAAAAAAACTGTACAGTCCATATCACAACCGCTAAATGCCCTAACCTGCCCCCAGTCCCACAACCCCGACCGTGGACCTCCCTCCTCGGTCTCCTGCGGTAGACTCTCTAAATATCTAGCACTCCCTCCCCTGCATGTGGCCCTCCACTGACTGCCTGTGGCGCTTGTGAGTGTGACCCCCCCTCTCCTGCATCTGCTACCCCTGATCTTGTCTGTGCCTGCAGATCGGATACTGTTGTGAGCTGTGAAACTCCCTCATCTGGTGCAACTGTGTCACGATCTGCAGCTGGACCTCAACCTCTGCCTCTGCTCGCACCCCGACCTCGGCCGCGACGTCCCCCACGACCATAACCTCGGCCTCTTCCTCGCGCTCTGGGGGGGGGCTCAATATCGGCCTCATCGTCAACGTGGGAGATGTCAGTGAGAACTGCATCATGTGTACTCATGGGCCCGGTCGAAGTAGTCCCCAGAAAAGCAGGTGGTAACTGGGTGGGTGGGGTAACAATATCATGCATGAACCGGGGCGCGGTCGAAGTACTCCCCAGAAAAGCAAGTGGTAACTGGGTGGGTGGGGTAACAACATCATGCATGAACCGGGGCGGTGTCCAATCAGGGTCAGGGTCAGCATGCTGAGTAAGATGTACGTGTGGGGAATCTGGAGAAATGTATGGGGTATCATGCGGTGGGGTGACTGAAGTACAATGACCTGCTGTGGCTGGCGCTGAAGTGGGAGGCATTGACATGGACGGGACTGATGTGTCTGGAGCAGCTGC